TATTACTTTTGATTTTTAAACTAATTTCAGATTTCCAAGAGAATTGAATATGAAAAAATTGTGGTGCCAAATCACTGGTCTTAATATGGAAGAAGTTAGCCCATATGCTGTTTTATGTTCCGACCATTTTTCCTCTGGAGAAATATACCAAAAAGTCTTTTACTGGGAAAAAATTTTTGAAAAAGGGTGCCATGCCATCTATAGCGACCAGTTCAAAAATTCAAAAAGTACTTTTTATTAGGTGGGTATCTTCTGCATACAAAATTTAAATACATAAATTAGCTGATTTGTAAGTTTTCCGATTTTAGTAATATATGAAAGAATCTCTAATGGACAAAAATTTAAATCAAAAATTAATTATTGTAATTAAACTATCTGGTACAAAATCTAAGAGCTAGTTTTTCTATTAATATACTTATTTTACTTCCAGTGATGATGACGCTGATTCAGCGGACAGTGAAAAAAGAGAACAAAAACATAGGTGAAACATCTAAGAAAAAGTAAGTCATAATGTACCCATGTTAAAATACATTAAAATATATTTATTATATTATAGGGTACAATTTATGCCCGATGTAACGAAACACGTGCCTATTGTTGGAACAAGCTCAGAGAGTGACGGACTTGGTGAAGAAGAAATTCCTAAGAAAAGGTTGGTTGAAAATTTGTTCTAATTTTTGTTATATCATCAATGTTGCAATTTTTTTATAGTAATACACGATTTAATATAGGAAATAAATTATAATAATTAAGAATATAGTTTGCTAACATCGTATTTATTTATAATTTATAAGTAGGTGATAATGCAATTTTTAAAAAATCAAACTTGGAAAGAAAAGATGGAATTAAATGTACTGCATTGTATTACAAATAAGAGACAATTGTTTTTATAACAATTAAGTATTAATACATTGTACTTTTACAAAAATTATTCATGATATGCAAAAATTCTAATATTTATGAGGAAGAAATGAAAAAGTAATAAAATACTTTGAAAGCATATTATTAAAAATAAATACTTTAGAACTCTTAAGTTGACCAATCACAACAATTCAGAAAAAAATAATATTAAGTTTTATTTCATATTAAATTAATAAATAATTAAATGTACACATATATTGATTGAATGATTTTTTCCTAAAATTCATAGTTTAGTATAAATTGAGTTTTAAAATCATTGGTTACTTTTTAATATTCTTAGTTCGTCATTTCTTTCCAGAAAAAAAATATGTTTTGTTCCCAGAAAATTTCCGGATTTTAATTTTTTTCTATTTTTCCGAAAAAAATTATTTATTTCGTTCCGGAAAAATCACCATAAATTTATGTTTATGTTTTTATTTAATGTCATCCTAAATGCGTAGCAGGTGAACAACAAAAAATTGCATTATTTTGATTTATAATTTTTAGGGACTTTGTAAAACTTGTTTGTATGTTTTAACTTTTAATTTAAGGTTGAAACTACATCAACAAATTATATCACCGTTATCGATGGCTAGTGAAAGCTCTGACCACTCAGAGAAATCAGTTGCTGGATCTTCTTCAACACTACCACCTAGTCCTACAAAGTCAGATACGTCAATAAACAAAACTTCATCGACTTTAACAGCTTCTGAGGCCGAGTCAGATATAAAATTAAAACCAAAGAGGAGGTATGCATTTTGCTTACATATTTTCAATAAATTTATGTTTGCTAGGCACACATTTGTTCCACTATTTATTTGGTATGTTCTGTAAACACTATTAAGATGCATTCAACTTGTTTTGTAATTCTTTTTAATGATTAACTTATAGAGTATTATTAAATTTTGTCTATTACGTGATTAATTTTGTAGTAGTTTTTTGCGTATTATTTAAACAGACATGTTCAATATCCAATTATCTTACTTGGATTTACTTGTCTTTTTTTAAATGAAAAAGATAAAATTAAAGAACAAGTAATCAATAATACAAACTTAGAGCCTATATCCTCATTACTTTGTAAAAAATTCGAGTAATCGAAAAACTGGCATCTTGTTAAAAGTAGTGTATATTGTACCAGATAGTCTAAAATTGATGCTATAATTTTGTACGAAATATTACATCAGTTATGAGTATTGAAATAATAAACCGTAGCTCTATCATTTACTCTTTATATTTTTTATTATTTCGTATATTACAAAATGCCCTGTATATTTTATTGTAGGAGAAAACCCTTACCCCGTTATTTTGGAGATTGTTCGTCAGATGATATGAATAGTCCAAGAAGAGCTAAAAGAAGTTGGGCCATTGCAACAAAAACTATTTCACAGTTAAAAGCAAGAGTGAGAAAATTTAGAAGGGAAAATTACATCCTGAAATCAAGAGTTGATAGTCTAACCTCATTGTTCAGTTATTTAAGAACCAATAACTACTTAAACAAAAGTGCGGAAGCAGTTATTTAAGTAAGATTTTGTAATAAAGTTAAGGCCCATTTGCAAAATATGTATTAAAACACACCCATCACCCATCAGTTATAATAAAATGTATATTTTAATTGATGTAGTAAAACTTATTCATAATAATTAAAAACTGTGTTACTGTTTAATAAAAAAGTTAACAAACAAGAAATTTTAAATAACACTTAAACTTTGCTAGAATGATGCAAGTGGGTCTAAATAAATTTTATCTAGGAACATCTAGATGCCAAAAATGTGTATTCAAATTTGTTAAAAAGCGAGCGTAAAAAGCAATAATTGTATTTTGTAGGCCTCGATTCCTGAAAAGAGTTTCCTTTAATGCTTAGGAATCTTTAGATATATAATTAATTAAATAAAAAATTTATAATTATTTATTGTGTTTTAATTTTTCTGTTAATATATTTATTTATTCACCTTTCGCCCGCGAATACTAACCTGTTCAAATACTTCAAGTACAAGGGTACCACCAATTCTCAATTACAAAGAAAATTAAGTTTAATATTTGTATTATTTAATTCTTATTTGTAATTAAAGCATGCACTCGGATTATTTGTTTAAAATTTTCTGCATATTAACTGTCCTTTAAAAGTATTATTAAATATTAAAAAAACATATCAAAGCCTTATTTTAAATATTGTCTAAATGTTATCTAAATTTTTCTTCCTTGGGACTTGCTACCACATTTAATTCAAATCACAGAATGTCATGTTCACATTTTTGATGTACAAGATATTTATAAACTATTTAGACCCCTTATTTAATGCACGCCATTGTGTTTAAAACGTACACAAAATTTATGCTCTCCTCAGCTACCCGCAACTGCCATAGTCAGCGCCACCTTCCAGTACATAATAAAATATCTACAAACTAGCGTTAATTCTGAATCTAGTGTTTATGATCGAAGGTCCACTATGCCGTTCTGTAACTAGAACATCGGCCACCTTCGACATTCGCCGCGATAATTTCGGTTTGGCTGTTTATATGCACCGTGGCCTGCGCGGGGTGTGGTAAAATCGAGACTATATTTCACTTGCATCTGATATAGACTCTTAAGGGGATCTTTATAATGTACATTTAAGAAGGTAACTTTTGTTTTATATGTGTAACCTAACTGTTCTTTTCTTCTTTTTATTTGAATTTTCTGAAGTTTGATTTACTGGCTTTACACAACTTGATTTAAATCATGATTTAAATTAAAAAAAATCAGTGGATTTAAATCAAATTGATTTAAATCGTCGCAACCCTGCTGTATGGGAATGAAGGACTTTTCCATATACAATTATATGAAGCTTGGCAGTCTGTCCGTTGGTGACGCTGGTGTTCCTAGTAATAATCATACAAATCTGAATGTGTACGGATGACTACAATGACAACAATAGAGATTTCTAGAAAAAATAATTATTATTATTGCGTATTTCAAACTGTACTGGAAGTGTTCAATTTATTACCTACCTAAAACGTTCAGCGCATTCAGATAAAAATGACGGTATAAAAACTATAGATGTATTTATAATTGTTATCATGTTAGGTTTGAAAGGATGCTTATGTAATATCCAATAATTATTTTATTATTTTTTCTAGAAATGCTACGAAGTAAATAAAATGTCATATTTTTTAAAACAACAGAGATGGTTCATATATTCTGTGTACCCCATGCAATCGACGTTCCGTGCATTTGATATACGGCGTGATTGTGAAAGACATCTAAATTCGGCTATCCATCGACAAAATATTACCGAGGAAAAGAGGATTTTTTTTATAATTTGTGTCATGGTCTGTGTATGTAGTTTTCTTTTACCTATAATACATTGCTACACATATCTACTAGGTGTATATAAAAATGTTTTGGATTATAGAGGGCGTGCGAAATAAATTGTTGTGGGTGACAGTGGATGAAACAACGTTCATATTCTTTGTATAAACGTATGCATAGACCAAACTGCTCAGATTTAGCAGCCACGAATGCAGAATGAATATTAGTTGTGACTTGATGACCATGTATGCTAATGCGATGGTGGACTTCAGTTACTCTGAATAATACATTGTATCAAGCGGTATGTATTTCATTGTTCGTTTTATACTTTCGCTTTTATTGGTCTACGTATGTATTTCCGGTCTACCGGTCCTGGAATAGTATCCTGACCCTGGTAATAAATACTAAAAGTAATATCTAAGTACAAGATATTAAGTCGCACTCGTAATCATCTTACTTTATAAAGAAAAAAAAACTAAATATAAGACACCAAGATCATTTTTTGGAAACCACATTAATTTTATGTAAAATTCGTTAGTGATATGAAAAAATATCCTTTTTATATATAGCAATTTTTTCGAATTTTTTTGTCCAAAATCATATTATTTACAAACATGTACCATCAAATAACATTTAAAAAAATATATAAGGTTACTTAATTAGAGCATTTCAAACAAAGAAATATTTATATTATCTATTGTGCTTGATAATAACTATTAATATTTGATATTTTCAAACCTTTTCTCTAAAAGTCTCTACATTTTATTAAAGATTTTTAAAATACATTAAAAAAATAACTAACTAACTAAGGGGCATGGTAGCTGAGTAGGTAAAGCGTTTATAGATATTTACTCGTGATTAAAGGGCGACGGTTCGATTCCATCCTTGAGCAAGTTAAAAATTTTAATTGTAATTTGTTTCGGACAATAAACTTTAGGGCCTCGTTTTTCTTTACTTAACATAAAATACTAGGATTATCAGAGGGTTACTTTGGTGACTTGAGAGGCGGTTAAAAAAACATAACTGAATGAGCGTTAAGTCACATTTTTTTTACAGTAACTCCGACATTTTAAAATAAAAAATTATGAGTACTCGTAATAAGCAGTATATGAAAAAAGCTGTATATAGGATGTTTCAGATTTAAAGTGACATACTGTAATGGGAGATAGAGCACACTTAGCTGAGTTCAAAACACCCCCAAATTTACCCTTGAATGTTAATTGCTTTTGAGATACAGGGCGTTTTTATGGTTTTTAACTAAAATTATAGTCGGCCATACTTCTGGAACAGCTTTAAATATTTGAATAAAATTTGGTAAAAACATTATACTCTTTTAGTTCAATCAAAAGCATAATCTACTATGGAAAATTCCAGAACCGGACTCAATTTTTATAATATTGCTCTGAGTGCTGATAACATCATCCTGTGTATAACTTTTTAGTAAATATTAGTAAGCGTCAATGGACCAGTATATAAAATAATGTCATAATATTTGATGGCACGTTTAACGTTAAAGGCAATCAACTAGCTCACGTTACTACTTTATGAATTTTACTTAAATACCCTGCACTAATTAAGCATCCTCATTTTTTTGGACAAGAAATGCACATTTATTGAAAAATTAATGGTTCGTGCAGGGCTGAACTCCCTTAAAATTCCATGATTAAGTATATTTCATTTGAGTTTGTTATTTACATTATATAAATCATTTTTGAAACACAAGTATAAGAAACTAAAAATTTATATTGATAAGAATAACTTGTTATTTGTTTTTTCTTATATGCAGCGTTTCTAAGCTTTATTAAATTTAAAATTTCCATTCAAAATAACGTACATTCCACTCTTTTCATGAAAAAAAAACTAATGTGAATAATGATGTTTGTATTAACAAGCACAATTAAAATTAATATTAATATATTAAAGATGATGGTTGACAATTTTATTTTGATCAAATAAAGTCAAAATGGAATTTATTAAGCAACAACTTACAACACTTATAACTAAGCCTGGCCAAGCGATGGTAGATTCAGGGTCGGGTGCAATACCAATGCCATCGCGCGCTTGTTTACGATGACGATGACACGACAGACTTCAGTTTTTATCTGTCGGTCAATGCATAGAGTACTAATAAATAATGTTGAGCGTAAAGAGTAGAAAACGACCGTACGCTGATAAAGCGAATAAATTTATCGGTGAATTTCCGGATTTATTCTATGATGGATGTAATATAATTTGTAAAGTTTGTGATCAAGACTTAATGTGCTAATACGGCTGCAAAATTCATGTCAATAGTAACCGGCATAAAAATTTAAAAAAAAGGCGTGTCTTTTTTGGAACATCAGTTTATGTTTGATTTACTGTTAATGCTGATTGCCTATGATGTTCTCCTGCGCATATTGGATAAACCAGCATTTCGGGAGTTCTGGAATAAATACAATCCTCAGGTGAATTAACCAAGTCGTTCATCGTTACGTAGATATGTACCAATGTTCGTGAAGACATTGTAAATAGGATTAAATGTGCATTAAAAAATACACGGCTGTAGTTATGTGTTGACGATACGACAGATTGTAAAAAAATTCTATTTCAAATGTTATAGTACGTGTACTCGACCCTGTTAAACCAACATTTCCACTTTTACTAGCTTGCAAAAGACGAACTGCGTGTACTGGCGAAACAATTACGCGGGTGGTATTGGAGACTTTCGAAAAATTTGAACTGTCGACAAGTCAAGTGTTGATGTTTGTGACCGACGGTGCTGCGACAATGCGTTTGATGGGCCGTTTTCTTCAAAGAGACGATTGTAGGTTTTTACATGTTACGTGTAAAGTGCATGCGTTCCATCTTGTAGCAGAAACGATTCGAAAATGTTTTCCAAAGGTAGATGCATTAATAGCAAATACAAAAAAGTATTTCTCAAATCTCCTAAACGGCTTCAAGCATTTCACACACTGTGTCCTGGTATTCCGGAACCACCAGAGTCGATTCTTACACATTGGGGAACCTGGTTGAAGGCAGCTTTTTATTATGCTGAATATTTTCAACAAATAAAAGCTGTGATACTACAGTTCAACCCTAACGAGGCTGCAGCGATTAAGGAAAGCCAGACAAGCTTTCAAGATGTTTCCCTTGAAACAGGTTTAAAAACTATTTATAACAATTATAGAGGACTAAACGACGCAATAGAAAAATTGCAAAATACTTCGTTGTCGTTAGTGGAATCGCTGCAAATAGTGGACGACGTAAATACACAGCTACTGACTATATGACTATAAATGACGCAAAAAATAAGCCCGTTATTGAAAAATTCGAGAGTGTATTACGGAAAGATCCTGATTTTACCAAATTAAGACAAATTTGTGATGGTGCATCTACAGCTACGTTAAGTGAGTTCACAGAGTGTTTTACTTATGCCTGTATTACTTCTGTAGATGTCGAACGGTCTTTTTCAAAATACAAACATATTTTTTCACCACAGCGAACATCGCTTACTGAGACAACTGTAAAAACATATCTGATGCTACACAGTTATTATAGAAGTGCTCCAGTTTGTGATAACGACAACCAAGCTACTTCATAAATCTGCTTGAGAAGGTGAGTTTTGTACATATTTTTATAAAGTGTACCAGTATTAATAAAAATTATTTTCATTTATTTTATTTATTTATTATTAGTTATCACTTAGATATATAATGTACATGTGTGAACGTCATTTAACAATTTAATAATAATGTACAGCACTAAGCTTACAAAATATAAGGAAATACATAAAAAAAGAATTTAAAGCGAACGAAATAGTACAAAAACATACATCACAATATATAAAATATTTTTGTTTTTATTATTGTACTTATTCAAGTATTATGATATGATGCATACCCAGTACGTCTCTGTAGGATTAATAACCTTGGCCAGGCTTACTTATAACTAAAAAAAAAAAAAAAAAAATTAACAGAACGATGCAGATAATTAAAATTACAACAGAGTTTCAAAATAACCACCCCCAGCGTCAATACATTTTTGAGAATGCTTTAAAAGGTTTTTCACTGATTTATCAATTATTGTTGGGTTATTTCTAATGTTATCACTAGAGCCAGGATCCGAATATTACATTGAAAATATTGTCGTGGAACATTTTGAAAATATATCCATTTCTCTCTCGAAGTACTATAGAACGGTGAACAAACGATGGATAAACGATTTCCCAGAGCTAGACTTTGATGGCGCAGAAGTTCGGTGCAATATTTCTAAGAAAATATCATTTTGTAATATTCGCTCTAGTTATCACATACATTAATACTTTTCTAGTAACTGTTCCCGTGTATCGAATTTTTTGTTATACATCTCTGACTTGAGTTGGCACTAAAAAAAATTGTCCAGAGGTGTAAGATCAGAAGACTTCGATGGCTAGTTAACAGGAACTCTTTGATTAGGAAATTTGTTGGAATAATGCTAAAATCACATGTTCTTGGTATTGATGCTTTGTAATAAATCTGGCAAAACGTCTCAGACAATCTTACTAAACCTCACGGCCTTATTACGTGGTTAAAATAATATTTTCGTATAGATGTTTTCCAAATCGCTGTATGCCAAATCATACGACATTTTTAAAGATATTCCAATTTAGTAATGAACATGTAAAAAGTTTGTATTACTTTATTTCAAAAATTATGCACATAATCTGAATAACAGATTTAAATAAAATGTACTTAATCATAGAATTTTAATCGAGTCCAGCTCTGCACGAATCATTAATTTTCCAATAAATATGTATTTCCTGTCCAAAATAATGAAAATGCTTAGGGTATTTAAGCAAAATTAATAAAATAGTAACGTAGCCTTAATTGTAGAATTAAAAATTTTGTCCATCAATATTTTTGAAAACTTATTGGAGAATAACCTTAAATGTGCCATCAAATATGACACTATTTAATACACTCATTTAGTTTAGTTTAATATTTGCCAAAAAATTATATACAGGGTGATTTTAGTGGCATTGAGAGCAACCTTATAAAAATTGAGTCCGGTCATGGAATTTTTCTAAAATAAATTATGATTTTGATGGACTAAAAGAGTATAATATTTGTACTAAATTTATCCAAATATTTAAAGCCTGCCACAAATATGGCCAACTATACTTTTAGTCAAAAACCATAAAACGCCTTGTATTTCAAAAACGGTTCACTATCAAGGGTAAATTTGTGGTTGTTTTGAACTCAGTGTGCTCTACTTCCCATAACACTAGTGTTAAACATCCTAAAATACTACTTACATACGATGCACATTATCCAAGATATAACGGATTAAAAACTGGTATAGTCAAAATCTCCTTAAAAAGTGAGATATTTTTCAGAAATTCAGCAAATCCTCAAAACTGTTCAACGTAAGTTATTTAGTGAGTGGTTTACAATAGACATAATATACAATTTAAAAAAAAATTTGTTCCGCTATTTTTTAAGATATTCGTTCGAGGGGGCTTAATACATTTCAATCGTATACTACTGTACAATTGAACATTAATCTTGTATAAGGGTCATCGTATTTTATGTATTATGTGTTATGTGTTTTATTGTATTTTCGTTTTACATTGTGAAAGTATTCTTTTTTTGTTGGATATTGTGAAAGACCGTTTATAACAAACAACCTTTTATAATTTGTTTACATGACATACGGAATTTACTTTATTTATATCTATTTACTACACTCTAAAGGCTAATATTATATGAACGTGGAATAATGGATTTCCATCGACCTGCATAATTAAGACGAATTTCAGATAACATATTGAGAAATAAACTGTGACAAGTATCAGATAAGTTTGTATAAAAAAAAACTTGTTGACAATAATGCATTCTGCTTACTATAAGGCGGTAGGCGTCCGGTACAGATCCG